AGAAGAAATAAACTAATTATACCTGTAACTGCATCTGTCAGTGAGTTATGATGCGGAAATTATCCCAAGGACAAATACGGACACCAATACGCTTGAGAGAGAGAGAGAGAGAGAGAGAGAGAGAGTTACTGGCAACATATCCAGCCAGCTATCACCAATACATGTCTCTTCGCTAGGCGGTGGATGGAAAACCAATAGTGGCCTTCTCAACTTCCCTCAGAGTTTAGGAGCAGACGCGAAATTCAAGATTAGTCAAGGGTAATACGAGGGAGAGAGAGAGAGAGAGAGAGAGAGAGAGAGAGAGAGAGAGAGATAACCCATATAACGGATAGTTAAATAAATCTTTCCCTTATAAAATAATATATACAAACTAATTTATATATATTAATTCAATTCACTTAAAATACTACATAATATTTTACTCTTCTACAAGGTATTTATCGCTATATAATGACTAGTATTAAGACGCATCTCACAGAAGTTTTGAGATACTTACAAACTGTTTATCATGAGCGTGTTTATCAGGTGATTATCTAGGAGTGTCGTTAAGGTGAAAGATAATGAGTTTGTTTGGGGGATTGTCTGTGTGTATGTTTGGTTTGGTTAGGTTAGGTTTTCTATAAAGGTTTACTGTCATGTATGTATGTATGTATGTATGTATGTATGTATGTACTGTATGTGTGTATGTATGTATTAATAAAATTAAATTAATTGCCATCAAGCCATCCATCATCACCACTACCATACACCACCACCATCCTTCACCATCACCACCATCCATCATCACCACCACCACCACCACCACCTTACACCACCACCACCATCCTCACCATCACCACCACCATCCTCACCATCACCACCACCATCCTCACCACCACCTTACACCACCACCACCATCCTTCACCATCACCACCACCATCCTCACCACCACCATCCTTACCATTACCACCACCATCCTTCACCATCACCACTATCACCTTACACCACCACCACCATCCTCACCATCACCACCACCATCCTTCACCATCCTTCACCATCACCACTATCACTTGTCGGTTCACTAATGCCGTGTTGTTTATCTTGGCTGGGTGACGTCCAGTGTTGGTGACAGCTGGGAGGACACGACAGGGTAGAGGGACTGTGTTTGGGGTCCTGTTATACCCCTCTTAACACCATACCAGCAGTACGTGTATATTTCTGGGACCACTAGTCTTATTATGTATACAGTACAGGTGAAGGTACAGTACAGGTAATGTATACAGGTATGAATGCAAACACACTTACAGGTATGGATATAAGTACAGGTACACCAATTAACACTAAAATAACTAAATACTGTGAATTAACTATATAAAAAATAATAAAATATATACGACAAGTTGACTATATGAAAACTAATTAGCTATAACAAATTATATACCGAGTTAACTACAGGGAAAGGTAATTGATTATATATATAGTTAATTACGGGGGACCAGTTATTAAAGATAAGGAAATATTTAATTCGTTCAGGGATCACCAAGAGGCCGCAGCGACAAAATGAGTCCTTGAGTGAATGTCGCTAAGAGACAGCTAATGTGTGTGACGTTTTGATGGCAAGTGAAGTAAATATGTGGCAGTATTTTAACGTGTGCGAGGAGAGAGAGAGAGAGAGAGAGAGAGAGAGAGAGAGAGAGAGAGAATGACCTAGTTTGTTTACTGTAACTGTTATACTGTATGTAAGTTGATGTGATCTTATTATGCACACCCACACACACACACACACACACACACACACACACACTTACGTTTTTCGTGTTAAAAACGTTTCGTTGGGTTCTTGATGACGTAAGTGGCAGACAGACTGACGGATGGCAAAAAAGAAGTTTGAAGATAGCGGACCTCAGCGTGTAGTGGGAAAGGGGGTGTGGTGGTTGTGGTGATGGTGGTGGTGGTGGTGGTGGTGGGTGGTGATGGTGGTGATGGTGGGGGTGAGTGGTGGTGGTGGTGGTGAGTTGTGGTGGTGGTGATGGTGGGGGTGAGTGGTGGTGGTGGTTGTGAGTGGTGGTGGTGGTGATGGTTAGTGGCGATAATGATTAAGTGATCGTACTCGGGTGGCTCAGTCATCGTACTCAAGGTGGTTAAGTCATCGTACTCAAGGTGGTTAAGTCATTGTACTCAGGGGTTTAAAATACTCTCAATTCACACTCTTAAGGATTTCACATCTCGTCTCTCAGCGTCTCTATCTCAGGCCACACCCAACGCTATCCTCTCAGCTCAAGACGTGTGTGAAGTTTAAATTGGGGACCCATCACAGATTTAGGGGAAGCATTGTTTTCCTATCTGTCAAATTATAGCATTCTCTCTGTCTCTCCTTGTCTCTATCTCTCTCTCTCTCTCTCTCTCTCTCTCTCTCTCTCTCTCTCTCTCTCTCTCTCTCTCTCTCTCTCTCTCTCTCTCTCTAATCACTTATATTCACAGTCAATAGTGCCAGTATGATTAGTTAATGGTTCGTCAGGCGCTGTTGAGTGCCTGATGAACGATACGGCCTCTTTCTGCCTGTCATGGCATTTACCCAAACAACAGGAGCATTGAAACACAAACAAAACAAACAACATTCTTACACAAACCAAACAACACCAACATCTACCCAAACAACACTGAACACAATCAAGGTAAACAACTACCCTGCTTGTAAGGAGGCAATGAGAACTACAAAAGCAATCCCAGTTGTTTATATATCATGGTGTATATAAAGTGTTGCGCTTCTGGCAACTTGGTTGAATGTGTTGACGTGATACCAGGATAGATAGAGAGAGAGAGAGAGAGAGAGAGAGAGAGAGAGAGAGATCAACAGGATTTATCAACATCATGTCAACAGGGTGAGTTTACTGTCAAGAGCTGGTAAAGCAACCTCAATAATATTTATTTTCATCCACTAGAAACAGACTGGGTGATGGATGGATGGATGGATGGATGGATGGGAAAATTAGATAGGTAGATAGATATATTGACAGATAATGAATAGATGAATTAGGAATTGTACAGGACGTGAGAATGAGTTAGTCTGGCTGAGTGGTAACGCGGGAAGGAAGTTGGGAAGGGAAGAAGATATTTAATTCCTGGTTATGTAAAAGATAATTTAATTAAAATTCGTATCCAGTGACTAATATACGAAAGACGGAAGTATAAATTCCTTCAGATAAAAACAGACAAATAAATAAACAGACAGTGTCGGATATATATTTATACTCAGACGGGAAGCAAATAAAAAAAAATTACTGAAGCATAAAACGTATTTAACTAAGACCAAGTGTTGATATCTCTCACATCACCATTTAATTACGGTAATGGAGAGTAAGAGCGACATATCTTCCATGTTTTATTCAACGGAAGGAAGTATTGTATATTTTTTCTCTCACTTTCTCTTTCTCTCTTTCTCTCTTTCATGGTTTCTCTCATAGGAACCTGTTTTAGGAGAACTTAAAGGTGATGATCTAATGGCAATGTAGTGGCAGAGTGGATACAGAGCTCGAATCTTGTATTATGGGTCAATGGTTCTTCTCTGAGGCACCTCGAGTCCACCCAGCTGTGAATGGGTCCCTAATTTTACAGTTGAGGAAATGAAGGCGGTCGAGTGAGGTTTCGGTCACACTACTGATGCTAAGTGGCTTAGTAATTAGTGTATTGTAAGTACGTCGGCTGTTGATTACCACTTAGAGCTAATTTAATTGGTGCTAAATTTCTAAAATACTAATTAACTCCTATTTAATTAGTACCTACATTAGCAAAACCTCTTTAAACACAATTAAGTTCGATTTAATTAGTACCTACTGAAGCAAGACCTCTCAAAACATAACTAAGTCCTATTTAATTAGTACCTACATCAGTAAGACCTTTCAAAACAACAGAATCAAGACCCCTTTACGTGGAAATAGAACTTTTATCACCAGTCCAAACGAAATGATCAACACACTCTCCTAATTAGGTGGATATATCAGGTGATTAATTTGCCTTTCAAAAGAGTCAGATCACATTAAGATCGGCTATTTACCTCGTGATTAGTGGGATAATTGAGTACAGGTGAGTGGATGAGCTGTATTAACACGGTTATATAGACAAACATTAAAGTATACATAGGTACATATACACACACACAGGTAGACATACATACATACATACATACACATCCTTGACCGCCGGAGGGTCAAGACCTATCAGGCACTGCTCCAGCTGCTCCCCCCCCCTCCCCTTGGTCCCTCTCCCCGACCCATCCTGACCACCGGGATATCAACAGTGACAATTTCGTTTCGAAAAGAAGTGGGATCAGTGTTGAACAGCGATGAACAGTGTTTAAGTCAGTGAATTTAGCACTAGACAGTACCAGTGAGAGCAGTGACCCACCAGTGAGATAAGCACCCCTGGGAACCATCCTCTGACCAGACGGTGTTAATCACTCCACCTTGGGAGCAACATTGGGTGAGCTTTACACCTGACTACGAGATAACACAACACCACCCAGCAGAGGGTGAGGTACTGTGACACCACCCCACACCACCCGGTGTCTCCATGACCACGTGAGGTTCTTCATATCAACACAGCCTCAGGTAACAATGGGTGCTTAGGCTGTAGGTTAATCCTATCCCGTGACGTCAGTGGGTTCTGAAGAGCCATTGGTTCTTAGGGTGTGACGTCACCGAATGCTAATTGGTTTGCTAGATACGATGTTATTTATTTGCTGTGGCGCTATTGGGCGTCATTACGTGTGACGACCGAGTTTTGTTGATATTATTGGGTTATACAGTGACGTTACCGAATTCCGTTGATATGATTTGGCGTTATGGAGTGACGTCATCGAATTCTGTTGATATAATTGGGCGTTATAGTGACGTCACCGAGTGCTGTTATCATTGGTTGTTTTGATACAGTGTCATTTGATGCCTCAGGGCTATTGGGTTATATGATACACTGGATATGTTTCCTCTAACCCCAGTTCAACGCCCTCATCTTCTCCCCCACAGGACGTCTACTCGATGACGTACTTCAACGCCACCCACAGCGTGACGGTGTACCACTGCGCGACGGACGGTGACCACGGCATGATGTTCGCTGTGTACCGCCTCGTCATCGTGTTCCTCCTGCCGGCGATCTTCATGTCTATCTTCTACGCCAGGGTGATCAAGGCTCTCTGGGTGTCTACCAAGAAGATGACCGCCATGACCCGCGTCTACAGGTCAGTTCCGAGGGTTCAGAGGTCACTTAAGAGGTCAAAGAAGATATGTGGGAAGAACCGGGAGGTCAGAGGTCAAAGATGAATAAAATAAGATAAGAACCCGGATCTATAGGTCAAATTCAGAGGGTAATGGGTCAAAGGTGAGAGATATAGGTCAATTTCGGAGGTCACAGCGATGGTGAGAGGATGTGAGCGGGTCAGACAGGGTCACAGCTCGGACTCAAAAGGTCATGACGAAACCATAACAGCTGGTGTTTGTTTACATGTGATCAGCTGGCCGTAGCGTAAAGTACTTATGAATGAACAGACGTCAACAACAAAGTACACATAACGAGGTGAGTACAGTACACAGATACACTCACAGTACACAGATACACTCACAGTACACAGATACACTCACAGGAACCTTTAGTTAACTTGTATACTCTATTAAGTAATTTTAGGACAGTCACAATACCTGGTAATTTACAGACAGACAGACAGACAGACAGACAGACAGACAGACAGACAGACACATTACGAACACTCATTGTACTAAACCTGGTAATTAAGAAACACAGTAGATTTGATTAATTAATTTCACTTTTTAAAACTTTCATAATTATACCTAACGTGTTAAATATATACACGTAAATTAATTAAAATACATATACGGATAAATTAACTATATGTCATCGAAAAATAATGCCCAGAATTTTATATAGAATAAGTTAAAATCTGGGTATTATTTTTCCTCGATGAGTTAAGTAATCTGTCTTCAGTAATTACTGGTATTTTGTTATGTTGTGGGACGGGCTGTTGAAAATTGCTTGGTGTAAAATTCCCAGAGCCAATTCGATGTTTTTTTTTGTTTTTTTCTTTTAATATATCATGAGAAGGAGGAAGAGGAGGAAGGAAAGGATGAGAAGGATGAGGAGGACGAGGAGGAGGAGGGGGAAGAGGAGGGGGAAGAGAAGGAGGAGGAGGACGAGGAGCAGGACGAAGAAGAGGAGGAGGAAGAGGAGGAGGAGGAGGAGGAAGATAGCCCCCCCCAGAAGAACAAAAGTTTCCTCGTTACTACAACACACCGCTATTGTCACTTCCAACTCTACTTACTACTACTACTACTACTACTACTACTACTACTACTACTACTACTACTACTATTATTACTACTACTAATAATAATAATCGTTAAAAATATAATTAAAATGAAAAAAAAATATTCTAAGAAAAATTTGGTCACTAGACAAGAAAGATTTACCAACTGTATGAGATTAAATTAGTTCACCTTAACGAGTTCCCTTTTATTTCTATGTTATAAAAAAAAAGAGTAAACAAAATATGGAATAAAGGAAAAAAAGTATGAAAAAATGGGAAGAAATTATGAAGTAAAGAAGAAAATTAAAAAAAAAAGAACAAGAAAAACGAAAAAAAGTAATGCAAAAATATGAAAAAAAAAGTTGTAATAAAGAAATAAAGAAGAAATGAATGATAATACTCTCCATTATTCCTTCCTTGATTTAAGTATGAATCTTAAGGGAGAAATTTTACCCGACTCGACCTAGTTATGAATAAAAACGTATATTGTGTATGGTTGTAATGTATAATGTATGTTTGTATATTATTAGTGAGTATTTCCTATATATTTACAGTGAATAATACTCCTATACATGCAATGAATAGTGGTAATATTTTTGTAATAATAATAAATACTTAGTTTGTAACGAATGGTAACTGTATCAGGTTTTTCGTGTATTATTTTGTATAATAAACTCTAGTTATGTATATTTCGTGCGTCCGTTCGTGTATTTGATCTTGCGTCCGTTCGTGCGTCCGACTTTGCGTCCTTTAGTGCTCCCATCAATGCGTCCGGTTAGAATTTTTCCACCGTGTTTATTCGCCCTCTGCGTCCCCGTTTCCATGGCAACCACTGCTTTCTCTTGCTACAATCTCGGTTTAGAGAGAGAGAGAGAGAGAGAGAGAGAGAGAGAGAGAGAGGTCGCATCTTTACGAACACCCTCCTTAATCTCTTCCGTGTTTCGTAATTGATAACACTGCACAAACACCTCCATCTCTCTTTCTTTCTGTCTTTCTTTCTTTCTTTCTTTCTTTCTTTCTTTCTATTTGTTTCATTAATTTTCTAACTCTTACCCTCATGATAATTTTCACTCACTCACTCACTCACTCACTCACTCACTCACTGAACATCACGACCAATATTACATATCCATTTGCCTTTATAAAACTGTAATACAAACATGGGGGAGTTAAAATGGCCTCAAAATTGCACTGAGACTTTACCGTTGTCAATTCCAGCTTCTTTAACCCTCAAGATGGCGACTGGTTTGCTCTGTGACTCATGCAAGTGGGCTGGCTCTATTTACACTCCATATTGAATAGGTAGAGTCTCAGTGCCATTTACACGTCATATTAGGTAGGTAGAGTCTCAGTGCCATTTACACGTCATATTGAATAGGTAGAGTCTCAGTGCCATTTACACGTCATAGGTAGGTAGAGTCTCAGTGCCATTTACACGTCATATTGAATAGGTAGAGTCTCAGTGCCATTTACACGTCATATTAGGTAGGTAGAGTCTCAGTGCCATTTACACGTCATATTGAATAGGTAGAGTCTCAGTGCCATTTACACGTCATATTAGGTAGGTAGAGTCTCAACGCCATTCCGACGCCATGTCTCCCTGAAATCTACGGCTAAGACTTAAGATCGTCAACAGAGAGGAGACACAAACAGCTCTCGTTAAAAGTGAACTAAACTTTGCAGGATTGAGTCGCTTATCTGAGAGTTAAAACTTGTTCTCTGAGGGAGTTTGGTTGATCTTCGTTGAGTTCTTTTCTTTCTTAATATGGAGGTTGGGTTCCGAGTGTTATGTTTTTTGTTTTTAATTTTGTATATATTTTTTGTTTTATTTTTAATGGATAATTTTTTATGAGAGGATTAGGTGTTTGTGTGTTTTTTTTTCCAAGGATAGTTGATGTTTCTGAAAGTAGTTTTTTTTTTGTTTTTTTTTGTTTTACTGGGAATTAATGTCTTCTATAAAGTTTTGCTCGATATTAATGTGTTTTTTTTTCGGAATATATATTAGAATTTTTTTGGGGGGGAAATATTTACTATAATTTTTTTTCAGAGTTTTTACATTATTAGAAAGATATTGATTGTGTTTTATAGCCAAAGAATGTTTTTATTTCCCCTTTAAATTCTCACAATTCTCCCTGTTTGTGTTTTGTGGTTTTCAGTTGTGTTTAGTCAACCGAACATACCCGCCTTTCCTGACCTGACTGGTGGCTGTTAGTCGTACTTGAGGGATGAACAAGATATGGGAGATAGAATAATTGATAAGATTATTATCAATCTATGTCATATTTACTAATATTCGTAGAGATAAAGGGAGAGAGAGAGAGAGAGAGAGAGAGAGAGAGAGAGAGAGAGAGAGAGAGAGAGAGAGAGATGGATGAATAGGTTGATAGATAGATAAATAAACATACATGTTAATAAATAAATATATATATAGATCGATGGATTAATAATTAAGAGACCGACAGACATACATATAGCTACTGTCTTCACATCAGAAAGACAGAAACAGACCGACAGACAGACAGCTACTGTATAATCGTCTACCATCTGTCCAAGTCTCTGTGTTCTCCGTTTTTGTGAGGCTAAGATAAAGTCTCCTAAGTATCTCTCCCTCCACCTAGAGACTTGGAGACTCCCACAGAGATAACGTGAGTCTTTATTTTATATTAATTTCCGAGTATTAAGTTTTAAAACATTTGGAGACAAAGAAGTTGAAGTATCTAATGAAAGTATTGAATTTATATTAACTTTAGAATATTTTTCAATAGTTTTGAGTTATTAAACGTTCACAAAAGTTGAAGTATATAGCAAAAGTCTTCAATCAGAATCAATATTTAATATATTTTAATTCTTGGAAGTTTATATAAGCTGAAATTTATAAGGGAAATCTTTTACGGAGAAAATTAAAACTTTCTATTAACTTTCTCTTTCTTCCAATAAATGTTTAACTTCCTTGAGGTTCACAGAAACTTTCATCGTTGATATGCCAAAGGTGAAATTATAAAATTTTAATAAACTTTCAAATTTTTTCCAAGTCAACTTTCAAATGATTTTCTATTCTACGCTTTCTAACGTTTCAAGACATGTTTATAAGTTTGAGGACATGCCAGAAAACCGACTAACTTTCCCTATCCTGATAAAAGCCTCTGACCTTTCTCTTCTCCTTTCCATCTCACAACACGGGCTTAAAACTACTCTACTTCTTTCCACAAGTCTCTCACGCAGTACAGTTTTAGGAGTAACTTTCTACTTTCCTTAACTTTCATATCTCTTGAGTTGAGCTTAACTTTGATGGTTCACTTCCCATTAAAGTTAATACCTTAATTTTCCAGTAACTTTCTAATCTTCTTACACCGGGTTTAAACTTTTGGATGTTTTAGTGTCATTTTCAAAGGGTTAAAACATCGTCTTCAAAGGTTAAATCATAGTCTTCAGAGTTAATCGTTCTCAAAGGGTTAAGACATTATCCTCAATAGGTTAAACCATCATACTTTCGAGGTTATATCAGCATTCTCAAAAAGGTTAAACTCTCGGATATTCCCCAAGATAAAGGAGCTTAAAATCCCTTACTTGTTTGGGACGCATTTGTACATTATAACATGAACACCCAACAACCTCTACTCAACTGTTGGTTCGCTTATGATGAGAACGACTCTGGCAGCAACGATCTTTTAACCTTTCAATAAGAGTCTTTGGGTACCTCCTCTCATGAAGTATAATTGGCTTTCCCGATTATGGCAGAAAATGTCCACTTTCACCGAATTTCTAACTTCTGTTGTAAAGGCACATGGAGAAAGCAGAAGGGTAATTTAGAAATTATGACTATCCTGTATATCTTAATACGACTCGATTTCTGTCTAATAACTAACTTTCTAACCTTTCGACCTTAACTTTTTTCCTTAATAACAAACTTTCTAACTTAT